GCTCGCGGCCGTGCGGCTGCCAGAGCCGCTGCTGTCCCCGCCGCCGCCGCAGGACGGTGTCGGCGGGACGGGGGCCGCCAGCGGCGCCGCCGGCGAGGCGGCGGCGGCGGCGGCGCGCGGCGAGCTGCCGCGGACGCCGGAGGGCGCGCTGCTGCTTCAGCGGCACTTGCGGGCGCGGTGGCGGATCGAGGTGCCGGTCGCCTGCGTGGGCGGCCGCTTGTACTGCCGCATATCAGCTCAGGTGAGCTGCCTAGTCGCTGTGTGCTTGCTTTGCTGCATGCGGTCGGATGACGGTGGGTGGCGAGGCAGGGAGGGCAAAAACGACGTGCTCAGGCTTGAGGCCGCAGGGCGTACGGGGTGACAGGTGCCATAGTAAACCATTCATGCACGCTGTGAACCAGGCGATGCCCGCGAAAGGTCTGCACGCTGGTCGCATGTGCGCCGCCGCCCTGGACTGCCCTGCCGTTAGCCCATTACGTACCTTGTGGGATGGGGAAGCGTGAAGGGATGCGCAAAGGGGCAAACTAGCCTGGACCTGTCTAGGCTGTGCTGACAGCCCCAATCCGCGGCCCCCCCTCCACTCAAGGTGTACAACCGCATCGATCAGTACGAGCACCTGGCGGAAGCCGTCCAGCAGCTGCGCGGGGACGTCCGCGGGGCGGCCTGGAGCGGCCGCGGCGGCGGCGCGTGACGCAGGGCGGGCTGCACTGGCGGCAGCGGCAGGGCGGCAGCGCCGTCCGATCTGTCCCCGCTCACAATGCAGCGGCGACCACACTAGGTTGTTGGGATAGTCTGCAGCGGGATTGCCTGCGGCACCGTGTGAAAGCGCCTACTGCGGCGTCCCTGCATGTCTTTGCAACGCACCAGCTGCTGGATGGGCCCTGTGCAATCGTCTTCTCCGCACTCCAGACAACCCGCCCCGGCTGACCTCATACAGACAATGAATGGACGTTGGTTTTACAGTCAGGCTAGGCAGGCACATCATATTGCACGTGCAAGTAAGAAAAGATGCGCACGCGCGGGCGCGCGGCCCCGCAATCCGGTCTTTTGAAATCTGATTGACAGCAGATAGATACACAGCCTGTGCTTGCGCGTCTCCCTCAACCCCGAGGGAGCCCGGCGCGCTGCCCCGGCCCGCCGCCGCGCGCCGGCCGCTCCCGGAGCGTGCCCGCCGGCCGGGCGCCCCCGCGGCGGCGCCCGCCCGGCGATCGCACAGCGAGCCTGCGCACGGAGCCGCCGGGCCGGTTTGTACACGCGGCGCGCCGCTGGTTTGCATACATGCGGCTCTACTTGCTGGCGACCTGGGCGGCGATAAGGTCGGCGGCCTCCTGCACGGTGGAGATCTTCTCGGCGCCCTCCTCATCCAGGGTGATGTCAAACTTCTCCTCCAGGGCCATCATGATCTCAACCTGCCAGGGTTCAGGGGCGGCGGGGTGGGGCCCGAGCGTGGGGCGACGGATGCAGGGCATCAGGCGTGGCGGGCAAGGCGGGGGCCTCGAGGGCAGGTGGATAGCTGAATCGAGGGGAGCCCGGGCCTCGGCCGCCCGACCCCAGGCGCAGGCTGCGCGACGGCCAGTCGTCTGGCGTCGGCGCGAACGCCTCCGCCGCGGCGCCTGACACCCGGGGGTGCTTGCGCTGCAGCAGGGCCGTCCCTGGATCTCGTCTCCGCTCCCCGGACCCAACTTTTGCCCCTGAGGACTCACGGTGTCGAGCGAGTCGGCGCCCAGGTCAACAAACTTGGAGCCGGGGGAGACCTGTTGCGGAGCCGTGCGGGGCACAGACAGAGGTAAGGTCAGCCGCAGGGACGACGACGCGTCCGGCCCGGCTCGGCAGGGGCCTGCCGGGGCGTCAGGCTGTGCGCGGTTGCCTTCGCACGGCACGAATCGATGGCTCTAGCAATTGGACCGCGTCCTTTGTAGACCGACATTGCAGTGTATGGTGGCCTCCTGCAGCCATGCCTGCGCGCCGCTGGACGCTCGGAAACCAGCCCATGTATACTTCCCCAGCCGAAGATTCGCTCGCGGGTGGTCGGGCAGGCGGGCGGGCGCGCGGCCAGACCAAGGCAGGCGGGCGGGCGCGCGGCCAGACCAAGGGTTGCGAGGGGGCCGTTGGGCGGCAGCGGGGCGCACCTTCTCCAGCTCGGTGCCCAGCTGCTCGCTGATGATGCCGCGGACCTCGGCCAGCACCTGCTCCTTGTCCTGTAGGCGCGAGGGGGCAAGAGGGCAGTGGGGGTCCAGAGGCTTGGCGGTTGTCGGCCCGGGCGTCAACCGCGCCGGGGCCGCCGCGCTCAAGGGGAGCGGGTGCCGATCGCATCGAGAGATGCTGGCGAGCGCTTTTTAGGCTGCTGCATCGCTGGAGTGCGGCCGAGCTGCGCGCTGCTCGCCTGGCGGCGTGGCGGGTTAGCACAGCGCTCAGCACAGCGAGCAGCGACCAGGGCCACAACTCAGGAAACCGATCCACTCGCTGAAATTCGCCAATAAAAGCACACTGCAATCATCTATCGGAGCTACATGAGCCAGCCCCGGGATCAGCGCCTCCTCCCGGCACAACGCCTGCCATCTCCTCGAACACTCACCACAGCGCGGCAGGCCACACGGCGGAAGGCCACCATGCGGGGAGCCGGGGCCTGAGAGAATACAGGCGCGCGAAGCCAAAGTCAGATTGGCTGCACGCAGGAGGAGTGCCACGCGGCCGTGCTCCCACGGTCCCCCATTGCCCGACACCAGCCAGGTACGCGCAATTAAGGGTCCAAGAAACACACCGTAGCGCGCACGGCGCGGGTAGCAGCCTTGTTCAGAGACAGAGCCATTTTTGCTATGAACGGGCCGCTGAGGAGCAGAAGAGGCTGACGAGGTGTATATGAAAGACCGTAGACGCTGTTAAAGGTGTCCTATTCCTGAGTCCCTCGCCTGAACAACCAGGAATCCATCCATCCAGTGACCGGCGCTTCAATCTCGATCCAACCCCGCGGCTTTTGATGCATGCATGATATGGTTGATGGTTTAATGTTCTACCCATAATTGCCAAACTCTGTGCCACGCCCGTGCCGTGTCGTGGCATGGCAGGGCCCAGTCACCTGATTGCAGACTTGCAGATGGAGGTGCGCTTTCACCTGTGGCAGCATGAGCACTGGTAACATTCACTCCACAGATGACTTGAACGCACACACCCTTGCTTGCTGCTGCTTTGGGAAGATTAGCAGGTCTGGTGCAAGCAAGCAGCGTTTCAATGTCCTTGCGGGCGGTGGCGTGGGTCAAACGTGCACAGCTGGACTGCGGCAATTTGCAGCCAGCCTGCCTGGGCAAACTCTGGCGTGAGGAGATGCATATTGGAGCGGTAATTACTGGCGTTGTGATCCTCGGCGCTTGCTCCGACATGCGAGCGCTGAGGTGTCACGTCGTGTGGCTGCGGGGCAGCGGGGCGCCTACGGCGCAATCCACCCGCACGGCGAGTGGCCGTTGGCGCCGCGGCCGGCAGTACATATCAGCGACAGCCAAGCCACGTTGCCTGGGCTTCAAGACTGCAGCGTGCTGCTGGTGCAGCGGGGCACTGGTGCAACAGCGGCATTACACCAAGGCGACAAGGGCCGTGCCAAATGCACGTGCCACATGCACTCGTCTGAGCCACGACATGGCGCGACCATGGCATGCACTTGTGAGGGCATGCACGAAACCAGGGGCCGGGAAAACCGGAGGTGGGCCGGCAAGGGGTGTGGCGCAGTCACGTCGCCAAGGATCAGCATCATGTGAAAACATCCAAGTGCTGCCAGTTCAGTCGGACAGCTGTGTCAAGCTGCAAGAGCAGAGGTTATTCAAGAGTAGGGTGGCAGAAGCCAAATTACAAGCGGTGCGGTGGCGCCGCCGAGCTTGCAAGAGGGTGCGCGGATGGAGGGCTCGTGGGCTTGCTGGGGGAAGGCGATTCAGGGGAAGCCCGCCAGCTGTTTGAACGCTGCGTGGCAGCGCGCGCGATGGGCCCACATCGCTGCACCGCCAGAAATGGTCACCAAGTAATGACACAAACATGCATGATTTCACAAATGTGGGGACCTCCCAAATTTGAAGCGCGGTACAGCTGGTGGCTGCCGGTTAAACACACGCGCAGTTGTGATGGATGACGGCGTGGCAATAGTAGTCTTCTCCATTTGCTGTGCCCATCGGACAGGGAGGCTGCTCAGAAGTTGTCGGAGGTAGCCGAGCAGCTGCCGCCCGATGGCTCGCCAGTGGCTGGGCTGGCGATAGGGCTCAGGCAGCGCTCCCCAGATATTGACAGCTGGACAGAGCTGCGGGGCGAGGTTGCGGGTGTGATGAAGGGAATAAATGTTTATTTGTTTGTTTGCAAACAGGCAGCACAGGCAGCCACATATCAGCCGGGAGGACTGGCCTGCTGTATGCTGCTGCACGTCGCAGGCGGCGCGGCGGCCTCGCCCCTCTCGCATGGGTCACAAACGAACACACACCCGACGTTGGCCCTCGCCGCCGCACCTCATGATGCCCGACCAGTCCGCTGTGTTGGCGCCGACCTCAGGCGGCGCCGGCAGGAGGATGCGCCACGTGCACGCGACGGCCTTGCCGGCCAGGGCGTCTTTGTGGGGGCACGTCGCTGTCTCCCGCAGGTGGCCCTCTTCCGCGATCCGCGAGCACAGGCGCACGCCGACGCGCTCAAATGCCAGCACGAATGCCTTGTTGTTGGTGACGGTCGTCGTGCCGTTGATCACCCGCCGCCCGGTCTTCGGGTTGACAAGGACTTTGAAAGTCGTGACGACTCTGACATCATCACAGGGCTTTGGCGGCGCGCGCGGGCGCGCCGCAGCTGCTGCAGGTGATGGCGACGCGACGTCAATAGACTGCAGAAACCCCGCCGGCCGCTTCGGAGGCGCTGTGTTCAGTAATAACCTGCTCGCAAGCGCGCCTGCGACGAGGCCGTGGAGGGGCCAAGCAGGATGGGAGTGCTGAGTGGGAACGCCACACTAGCAATGAAGCACTGGGCTGCGGCGGTGCGCGGGCGACGACAGCTGGACCTGGTCGGATGGAAGGCTTACAGTCACGATCTACTGCATTCTTGACGCTTTCGCGAGGCACGCACCGTGGATGGAGGAGGCGAGAATCAAAGACGCCACCCAAACGCTGAATACGGCTCTCCTGCCCCTCATCCTGGCGGGCGCCATGCAGGGTTTCGAATATATGCCTAACTTTACGGCTGGGCTGCGGTGACACGTTTCGCTAGGCCTTGGTCAAGCTGGAAGGAGGCCACTGCGAATTCACGAGTGAACACTTCTGGGCTTGAGGATAAAGCAAAGGCTCGATTAGAATATGTATGATATAATCGCAATGAATGGGCAGGGGCACTTGATACCACCATACGTGCGTTGCTCCCGTGCTCCCGCTTGAAGTGTGACGTGAGACTTCTCATTCCCGTCGATGCCGCCGATCGCTCGTCAAGGTCACAGCCGCAAAGCCCCCAATCGCAAAGGTGCCAGACGCTTGCAGCCATCAGCAACTACGTATTCAACTGCGTGGTCCCCACGTCACCAACTTTGCCCATGCAACCGGCAGCAGGAGGAACCCGCCCTTCCCGCCGTGCGCGAACCCACAGGACCCTCACGGCGTCGCAGCCCCGCGCCCCTTGTTAGGACCCCCCGCCCCCCTGCGCCCACCCTGCACTGCAGCCTGCTGGCTCCAACAAGCCTGCCTGGCTGGCCGCAAACGCCTCGCTTGGAGCATCCGTTACCACGACAGGGTCGGCCCGCGTGCGCGTAGCCAAGCGCCAAGTTCCCGTGAAAAAGCAGCCAGCCAACGCTGTCAGCACCGCCACCGCCCGCTCACGGCCCGGCACGAGTAAGTCTCCTTCCGCGCCGCCGCCTCATCCGCTGTGTGGAAGATCGATTTGTACACCTCAGGGGTAGCGTTGCTCGGCACCTTGATCTTTTTGGCTGCCTTCTCGGCCCCCGCCGCCGATGCAGTCACCGCTACCGGCGCCGCAGCCGGCGCTGGGCGCTTGCCGCCCGCCGCCGTTGCCGCTCCAGCAGCATTGTTGCCGCCGCTCCCGCTGCCGCCGCTCCCGCTCGGGCTGCCGCTGCGCGCCGCCCCGTCGGCGCCCTCCACGGCGCCGGCCTCGGCGCCCGCCGCCCCCGCTGCCGCAGCCGGCCCCGCCGCCAAGGCGGCCGCCGCAGAGGCCGCGTCGGCGCCCTTCTTAGCCATCTTCTTGGCCAGCTTCTTCTGCCGCTCGGCAGACATCCTGGCCGCCAGCCGCTCCCGGATCTCAAAAAGCTCGTCCCCCAAGGGGTTGACCACGATTAGGTCATCCGCCGCCCACGGCCCGCCAAGCAGCTCCTCCACCGCCGCCGGCGCCTCCTTGAGCGCGCGCTCCGCGAGCGCCCGCCCCGTCGGCCGGTGCACGACGAACCGCGCGCGGCCGTTCATCTCCAGCCCTGTGATTGGGCACTGCCAGGCGGCTGCAGAAGCGGCGCCTGCCTTGCCGCCGCCGGCGCGCGGCAGCGGCTCGAGCCGCAGCGTGGTGACTTGTTTGAGGCCGGATATGTGCGCCAGCGCGGCCGGCAGCGTCCGGTTGAGCAGTGCGTGCACGAGGGCCTCCTTATTGAAGAGGCTGCCGAGCTCGTCCACGACGCAGGGCTCGGCCAGGGGCTCGCCGCTGATGTGGCAGCGGGTCCACCGCGCCAGCAGCTCCTCCGCGGGGTTGACCTTGTCCGGCTTCTTGCCCTGGGGCGGTGAGCGGAGGTTGTGTGCATGCGAGATGCGATGCTCGGCGTTGTTTGTTGCTGCGAGGAGCGTTGTGCCGCGAGCAGCGCAGCGGCCCCACCCTAGGGCCCGGCCTGTCTGCACAGCACTTGGAACGTGCAACATGGGTGCAGGCTGAGCAGCAGCGTGCCGCCCACCTGGTACATCTCAAGGTAGCACGAGCGAGACTCCGCGCCGGTCGAGCCGCCATCGCCGCCGCCGCCGCGGAGCCGCAGCTTCGCGCACAGCGAAGCACCGTCGCGCACGCCCGCTGCCTCGAGTGTCGCGGAGTCTGCCAGCAACCGGCCCTCATGTACGAACGCCTGCAAAGGGAGGTTGGCACAGACATGCAGTCTGCATGCAATGCAAGCATGGCACAAGTGGCGCATGCGGTGGGTGCAGCAAGCGTGTGCAGCTCGACGTGCGGCGAGCGCCAGCGGCCGCGCCAAGGCTTGACAAGACCCGCAACGGCCTTGGCTCGCGAAGAGCGCGTCGTTTGCAGTACATACTCACCCATGACACGGTCGAGACCACGCCAAAAGCCTTCTGCGACCAGAGCTCCTTCAAGTCGTGCACAGTGGCCCCCGGCGGGGCCTCCACCACCACCGTGGACGCATCACGAACAAACAGTTGCATGGCTCAAGACTGCACGCGTGACGTGCGTGCTGGCTTCGGATCGCTGACGAGTCTGGGCACTGGTGGAACTCTCTCCGCGCGCCGCGGGCTGTCCGATAATTCTGGATGAACAACGGCAAACTGAATACAAAGTGAGTAACATATGGCACGTGCGACGAATATGGGTAGTCCCGTATGACAGCGCCATGCACACCTTTGTCAGCGAGCGGAAGGGCGAGGTGGTCCACCGCCATGCGGCGCTGCCTGCACACCTCGCAAGCAGCATCACTGCCCCCGGTGCAGGCGCGCGACGACCACCGTGATATCATCTATGTATGATGGGTCCACCGCCTGCCACCGGTCAACGGCGGCGCTGACCAGCGCGGCGGCGCCCGCTGACGCGTCCGGCTGCCCCGCAAGCACATCGACCGCCTCCTGATTGTCCATATACTCCCAAACGCCGTCCGAAGCTATCAGAATCATGAGCTCGTCGCAGCCGGCCCCTTTCCCGCCCCAGCCCCACGACCGCGGGCCGCCGCCGCCCGCGCCGCCGCCGCCGCTGCGCCGCTTGGCGCCCCACTCGGGCCCCAAGTCCACCTCCGTCACCTCGGGTTCGGGATGCACCCCCAGGCGGCGGCATGGCAGGTCCTGCGTGCGCACATGCGCCAGAGCCGGGGCATGAGCTCGCGCAAACATAAGCTGGACGCTGCTGAGGGCCGCGCGCACAGTGGACGGCTGCGCGCCCCACCCCTTTCCGACAGGCGGCCGGGCTTGCGCCGCTGCGCTGTTCGAAGACCAAGCCCCCTCCCGCCGACGCGCCGCGTGCGCGCACGCTAGCGCGCACGCACACACGCGCACCCCAAAGGCGCGACTCATCGCCAGTCCCGGGTAGTTGAGGTGGCGGAACCAGACTGCGCCGCCGCAACGAGCATGAATCATTCGGGGAGGGGGATTTGTTGGACCCCGGGACGGGGCGGGGCAGGGGCGTGGCCGCGCAGGTTTGGCGAGGCGACAGGAAGGGGCGTGCAAACAGGGGGCGCACGCGGCATTGAGGACGCAGGCAGGAGGTGGGGACGACAATCGCAGGGGACAGCTGCAGCTTGGGGGAGGCAGCCTTCCCCCTGAGTGGTTGGCAATGTCCGCCCGGCGGGCGCGCCGCGCAACGGCCGTGGGCCGCGCTCACCTCTGTGCGGGCCGCCACGCCGGCCGAAGCTGTCCTGAAGCTGCTCGACGCGGCCGCCGTTCAGAAGGATTCGCACCTGGGGAAAGCGGTTTGATTGTTAGGGCCGGCAGGGAACTGGGGGCCGGCAGGCGAGCGCGCAGTGTGGAAATGGAGCATCCGTGCTTTCAGCGACATGACAGGGGAGCCGCTATGGGATGGGGCGGGCCGCTGCGTGTGCCCGTCCCAGGGCATGCACAACAACAGGCACGCAGTGCGAGCAGGAACGGCCCCAATTCTGTGCCGCACGTAGAAGGGGGCGCGACGAACCTCGTCTGTAGCACACAGCGCACCTTCTCATCAGGCCGCTCCGGCTTGTGATCATCGCTCAGCGCGATTGCCCGCCACCGCCCCCCGCCCGCCCCTCGCGCGGCCAACACCGCCCGGCTGTCGCCGACCCAGGCCGTCGCGAGCCGCGCCGCGTCTAGATCGAGGTGGCACACCACCGCGGTGCTGCCAGACTCCAACACGTCGACCCCGCTGCCGCACAGCATTCGGTCCACATCAGCAAACGCGGCGCCAAACGGCAGCCACGCCGCGCGGCCGGCCGGCCGCGCCGCCAGAGGGCCCCCGGCGGCGCCGTTCACGGCAGAGGCGTCGGCGCCGGCTTCGCCGCCTGCTGCTGCTGCCGCCGCTGCTGCTGCTCCTGCTGCCGCGGCCTCGTGCTTTGCGGCGGCGTTGATATGGCGGTACAGGACGTGCGGGAGGTGGCGGGCCAGGTAGGAAGACACCAGGTGGCCGAACGTCCCATGGCCATCCAGGACGCCTAAAAGCAACTGCGGGGCAACGGCCCAGGCAGAGGTTTTGTCGTTGGGTGCTGTTGCGAGGACGCGTCATTGTCAGGCGTCATGAGTGAGCTCTCTGGCTGCGCGCGCATGTTGGAAGCGCGGGCGGGCAGGAACGAGGCAGGGCAGACTTGGCGCTCCGCCGCCACACGCGAGCTTGCCGAGGCTATGCAGGTATTGCAAACGGTGGCGTGCAGCCACCGCGGGCGTCGCTGAGCGCGGTCTGGCGGGGACCCGTATTGCTGCGCCCTCACCTGGCCGTGCTTGCCGAATGGCTCCACCACGATGCTCCTGGGGCCCGGCGGCAGCGGGGCGTGAGGCGTTGGGTGTGTGAGGTTCACGCACAGCCCGCGTGCGCCCCGCCAGGCGGCCTGAGCAGCCGCCCGCGTGCCGCCCTCCGCGTGCGCCGCTGTGTGCGCCGTCGGCCGGCCGGGCGCTCTCCGATGTCGTCCGCCGCTTGCTTTAGGCAGCCCCCTGGCTTGCGTGATGCCCTGGATCCCGCTTTTTGTTGCTAAATCAAGCCTCCCCATGCTTCCTGAAGCGCACTCCTTGCTTCGCCGCACCTGTCCTGATTCTCGAGCTTGCCGCCGCCCGCCATGAACCCCTTTCTGGTGCAGCCACCCACGTCTACCTTCCACCATCCAGGTGCGCCCTCCGATGGCGCAGCCACGTCGCTAGCGGACGCCTTGGCGCCGCCACGGGCTAGCCTGGGGTTCGCTGTGCTGCTCCTGCCTGCATTGAGCCCGCGGCCGCGCTCGCCGCCGCCACCATCGAAGCCGCCGCTGCTGCAACTGTTTGTGCTCAGGGAACGGCGCAAGCTGAAAGGTGTCGCCTTGCGCAGCTGATGCTTTGGCACCGCAAAAGCGGCTGCGCTGCGGTAGTTCAGCGGCAACGAACTGCCGCTCCGTGCGTTCGGCTCCCACACCGCCAGCGCCGCGGCGCCCGGGTTGTGTGGAAGACAGAATCCCACCACTGTTGCGTGATCAAAACTAGGAGATACTTGATCGCTGTAAAGCAGGGTCTGGGAGAGGGGTGCTGCGGAAGTGGCAAAAGTCGAGCTGCCGCGCCGCATGGCTTCAAAATTCATCTTATCGCGATTGTGTGCGATTGTATGCGTTTTTGCGGGCTCTGCAAGCACGCCAGCCTCACGCGGCAGCGGCAACAGCGGGTCACTCAGCTCACTACTGTACTGGCGCTGCTGAGCTGCTGTGTCAGCCGCCTCCCCAACAACATCTGATGTCATGATACACGGCCAACCAAGCCCTTACGCAGTGGAAACAATATGTTTTCAAAGGTCACCTGCCAATTTTGCGCTCAATGCTGATGCTGTCAGCGATATAACACGCCAGTCAACTGATCAACAGCGAGGTTTGACAGGTGCGGCCACCCACCTACAGTTTCCCTTGCGTACCAAATCAATCGGCTTGTCATTTACAACCGACTGTGCTGTGTATACAACATCAAGTGCTCAACACCACATTGCTTTCCACACGGTTTCCACATCACCAAGAACACTTTCCTTGACGTCGATCGGCGCTGCAAATCAGAGCGGACGGGCACTCCGCCGCCCCGACGAAGCAGCTGGCTGCCTGAGCCTGAGGCGAAGCGGACGAGATGTGCCGGTGTGCAGTGCCTACTCGCGATTAGCAATTCTTGAAACATCCCCAAGATTTCCAGCCCCAACGATAGAATTTCTCTTGAAAGGTCTGGCAAGGAAGCCAGACGCGCCTCTCGCGGCGCCTCGCCTCTGAACCTGACACCCCACACGCCACATACATCCCCGCCTCAGCCGCTGACAGCACGCCACAATCATCACAGCCGCCGCCGTCCCGCCGCCGCCGCCGCCGCCGCCCTGGCCAGCCCGACCTCAGCTGCCCACGCGTGCGCGTCCTTGCGTCCGAGGTCGAATATCCCGCGCGCAGTGACGGCGTCGGGCGGCTGGATGAGTGAGAAGGTCGCCCATGCAGAGGGGCTGTAAGGCAGGGGGCTGAGGCCGGGCTTCCCAGGAGCGATGTCAACCACAGGCGGCTGCCGCCCCAGCAGCGGGTCGAGCTCCGGCCTTTGAGGCATTATTGACGAGGCGGACAAATTCAAGGGGCCGCGGCGCGTGGCGTGAGGGAGGGTCGTGGTTCAGTGGGGGGGCGTGGGGCGTGTGGTCTTGAGTGCACCTTTGCCGGCGCAGGTCGATACGCGCCTTGCTGCCGCCTTTAGAACGGGTTGGGCGCACAGCGGTGATTCAACGAAGTGGACCCCGGTTTCAATCCTCGCACGGCTCGTGGGCTGCGGGATGGCTGCGGCGGCCCCACGCGTGGCGGGGTCGGCAGTGACAAACCAGCCCGCGCACGCGCACCTGGCGCACCCGCAGTGCGGTTGCCCGCGTTGGCGCGGGCCAACGCCTTGAATCGGTCCAGAGACTGCAATAAAGAGTTTGGTGGCACGGCGTCGAGAGTGAGGGAACAAGGCATCGTGCTCGGCGTGTGAGGCGGCTCTCACCAGTGAGAGCAGGTTGCATGGTGCCAACCCACGGTCAGATGCAGCGATGGCTGGCGTTGCGCTTCAGAGGGTGGCGTGAGCGGCGTGCAGCGTTCGAACACTCTTGTGACAGCTGCAAGCAAGACAAGCCCGCACTGTGGCGGGCGCGCACCTGCTCCGTTACCCCGCTGGCGGGCGTGCCGAAAGGCTGCGCCTGGACCCTGATGCAGTAAGTCACGTTGGCGGCTGCGCGCAGGTTGCGGCGTTGAAAACGCGAGGGGCCGGCAGCAGAGGGGCCTGATATGGAGGACGGACACTTATATCAAGCAGGGCAGCTGCGCCATGATAGATTAAGTACCGCCCCCGACTTCATCACGGCTGCTGCAGTGCAGGGGTTGGGGCGGTTGCTGACTTCAACTCCTTGTGGGTGTCAGGCCCACGTGCCCAGTGAGCAGAGCAGGTGGTGCGGCAAATGTGCTCGACGCCGGCAGCTGGCGGCGCAGCAAAGCCCTCCGCTTCACAGCTGGGAGAGTCTGATGCAGCGCGCACGTGGCGTGCGCCGATCGGCTCAGCCCAGCAGGGTTGGACCACAATCCCGGCCCACACCATGGTATTTCAGTTGGGTGGAGCTCAAGCCCGCACTGGCGAGCATGGCCGTGTGCGTCTCTCCGGTGCGCCTCCGTCGCACACGGCCTGCATTGCCACGCAGCCAAGACTGCGTGATTCGGTCCTCCCCCTCCTCCCCACCGCGGTGCACTGCAACGCGTGCACGTGCAGATAGGTGTGTGCACATGAAGGCATGCGCGCCGCCCGTCACTCACCGGGAGGGGGGCAAGGCAGCGGGTCGGTGAATCCGCCATCATAGGCCTCAAATTGGCGGACCTCCGTGTAAAGCTCGGGGGACGACCAGAACGGCAGGTAGGAGGACGCAGCCACTGCCAGTGGCACGGTGCATATGAGGCGAGAAAAGAAGGGGGGTGTGGGGCGGTGCAGGGCAGAGCAGGTCTCCAAGGCAGGCACTGTATACAAGCTGGGCGCAAGGCCGTGGAAACCGAAAAGAGCTGGCGCAGCTGCGCAGACCGAACCAGCGGCAGCGAGGGGATACAGCAAGCAGCAGCCTCGCAGCTGTTGCGATTGCAGGCACTCTGTTGTACGAGCACTATGGCTGGGATTCAACCCCGCGGGCCGCCGCCTGCCGCAGGTGGCTGCACTGACGGCACAACGCCGTCGCGTCATCACCAATGTCGATGACGTCAGCCCTGTCCTTGTAGTCATACCCCAGCAGCAGCGGCGGGTCCGGGCCGTCCGGCAGCACGCGCGTCACCGCCGCAAAGCCGCGACCGCTGCAGCGGCTCGCGGCGTCGGGCGGCAGCGTGCTGTTGAGCTGGGCGCGCACAGCCTGGTCGAGTGTATGCTGCAGGTGGGGCGCATCGAAGAGGTTGAGCGGGTTCAGTACGCCGAGCACTGGTCCTATGGCGGGGCTTTGAGGTGTTCATCACAGGGGCTGCGTGCGCCGCGACCGCGTACCCTGGGCACACCCGGGCCAAACCCAAGCCGCTTTTAAAGCCGCGCTGTCCTCAGCATTTTCCAGCAACCCTAGACGTTGATATACAGTGCCACGATGGGCTGGCCCGCCCACAAAAGATGGATACACAGTGATAGAAGTCTGCACCATCGGCTTTCAACCACGCCGGCAGCCTGCAAACCACGAAATCCTCGGACACATCAGCACCGCTGACGCATAAACACGCCTGACTATGTTTGTCCAACACTCACGAAGCACTCGTTTTGCGATCGGCAGGCCTCCGATGTGGCGATCAACTTGTCCAGCAGCGTCGCAGGCGCGAGCCCCGCACAGCCCGCCGATACGGCAGCAATGGCACCCCCGCTGGAGCCAGCCATTGGGGTGAGGTGGGTGACGATGCCGCTGTCCAACAGGGACGCAAGGACACCAAAGAAGTAGAACAACAGGAAGCCTGAGCCGCTAAAACCGAGGCCTGGAAGCAGGGAGGGTGGCAGGCGGGCGGGGCCGCAATTGAGTGACATGCGTGCGAGCGCGGGTCATCAAGCCCGGCGGGGCAGCGGCCGGCGCTGAGTGAAGGTGATGCGGAACGTGCCATGAGTGGCTTGAAGGGAAGACGTGGCCGCAAGAAAGGGCCCAGCGGCGGCGAGTCTGCGGCAAGTCTGCAGCCCGCCAACGCACCAACTCACCGAGGGTGCCGCTTTGAAGCGCGGTAACGGCTGGGAGCGTGCCATTGGCCGTCAAGCTGCTCATCGTCTCCCGTGAGACTTTTGCGTGCTACCAATTCGTCTGCGGCCTCTGTGGTGTCGCGAGGTTTCGTTGATCACCACTTCCGGTCGATCCGCGCGCGAGGTGGTCGCAAAGGTCTCAAACTTCGCACACAGTAGATGTAATTTGTACAAGCAAGGGTCACTTGCGCTGCACAATGCTGACTGTTGCAGTGTTGCGGACCGCCCCGGGAAGCCCCATGCTGGCACCGCAGCTGAAGTGGCAGTGTGCTCAGCAATTCGGCGTTTGGGCCACCTGCACCCCGTTGGTCTACTGATGTGAGCTGTTTTCAACGTATGTGTGAAAGGGATAATGCGTCCTGCGACAGTGCAGTACGCATGTGCACCACGCATGAGTCAAATGTGCAAATACCGGCAGGTGGGTGCCATGGTTTTCGTCGCCCAACTTGCACATCAAGAGTAGATGACCGCAGCCTTCACCTTTCTGACTTGTCACATGCTTGACCAGCCTGCTCGGTCCCCTGTGCACAGCCCGCCACGACAAGTCGCACAACGACACAAGCCTGCATGCGGTGCAGCACTGTGCCACGTGCCTACGCTCGAGACAGACAAATTGCAATGGATATGCCCACGTAGAAGGCCAAGGTGCAGTGATGTCGCATCGTGTACTCCTGGCTGGCTTGGTTGGCTTGGCGTGCGGCGGGCCGCATGACGTCAGCCGGGCAATGGCCGGGCATGCCTTCCTCTCCCCAGCACCCGATGCCCACGGAGGCAATCTTTGAAACCTTCACGGCCGCGTATAGGGTGTATAAAACGCTCACGTCCGTTTTCTCCGATGATCTATGTACAGTGGAACACTCTCAGCCTGAACTGAAGGCATCGTGATCTCGCAGTGATCACACTCACGGGCCTTGTGCTCACACCCTGTCCATGACGCCAAGGCCACCAGTAATTTTCATCCATCAGGCCTGCTCGAGCGCATCGCGAGGAGGCAGCAACTGATCCCAATCACCATGCTTTGGCCTCATTAGCATGTCTACAGCGGTTGAGCTCATTGAAGATCGCGCCTCGGCGCTGTTGGATCGGCTGGACGCTCTGGGGTGCGTGGGGGTTCCCGCGCGCACGGCGTGGCTGCGTCTGCGGTGCGGCTGTGCGCCTTGCCCAGCAGCTTGCCTGGTGGATGCTGTCCCTAGGCACGCAAAAGCACCCCCCTGTTGGTATTATATCGGGCGGCTGGAGTACAAACCGCACGGCGTAAGGGCAGTGGGAGAACGAAACGCGCCGGACACAGGCGGGCGCGGCGTAGGCCAGTGCCGCCGCCCGCAACAGCCCGGCGCGATACCCGCACACATCTGCAGTCACCGCTTGAAACGGCCTCACCATGTAATACCTATTCTTCGTATCAGCCAAAACGTGTTGCTTCGCATGTCTTAAGACGTCTCCAACCCGGGCCCTCTGCAACGCCCTCAACTGTCTTGGCGCGTCGGCATTGCCCAGGCTCGGCCAGGATGATCTGACAGAGGACGACCTCACCGCCTCTGGCACCGCCGCGCCGCCGCGCCCGCCGCTGAGCGCCGCG